TATATATATGGGAGCTCTGGTAGCATAGTGGCTAAGGCACTTGACTGCTAACCAGAAGGCTGGCGGTTCAAATCCACCAGCCACTCCTCGGAAGGAAGATGGGGCAATCTACTTCCGTAGTGATACTGCCTTGGAAACCCAAGGAGAGGTCGCTATGAGTCGGGTCCGACTCGAAGGCACATAACAACAACAACATATATATATATATATATATATATATATATATATATTTCATATAGTCATTTTAGACTATGCAGAATTGCAGAATTACTACATACACTCTTTATAATAGCTACATAGACCATTCCAAGCTATGTTAAGTTTGGGAATATGGCCTGGCCTCAGCACTGTTAAATGAAGTCTTTCTAGATTTTTCTCACACTGGTAGTCCTTAAAAATAAGGCTTCATTTCTAAACCAGCATACATAGCTATTGCCTCTCATTCTGCTTAAGAATAGCTATTACACTGTGATGTTGTGGGTAGGGAAAACAGAAAGCTGGTTCCATCTGATCCTCTTTCTCTCCGTTAACCAGATAATCTGCCTTTGGAGTTGGGTAAATATAAATAAATGTTGAATTACAGGGAAGTAGGGTAAGCGTTTTGGAAAAGGAATCTGATATTTTACTCCCTTCCATACAGATGGATTCCTGTTCGCTCAGCTTGCTAAAAAAAAAAAAAAGAGAGAGAGAGAGAGAGAACCAAACCCACTGCCATTGAGTGGGTTCCAACTCACAGTGACCCCTCCTTGGGTTTCTGAGGCACCGCCAGCCTTCTGTTTAGCAGTCAAATGCCTTAGGCACCACGCCACCAGAGCTCTCATATATCTACAGTAAAAAATAAAAAGAAGGACTGCCCACTTCACTGCTTCAATTTTTGTGTTGGTGCAATTAAAAAGAAAACAAACTTACTTTTAACGCATGTATGCTGGATATTTTCCATTTGTCCCTCCAGGTCTACCTTCCACTCACAGCCCGTGCCTCGTGGAGTGCATCACCCCTTGTTCTCAGGAGTCCTGCTTTGTTTGGCTGATGGGAGGAATAGGCAGAAGACCAAAGAATAGAAGTCCTCTGTTCCCTCCCTTTGGTTTGGCAGTAGCTGTTTCTCTATTGAAGATCGTAGGTCTTCTCAGTAACTGCTTCAGGCCTAGGAATGGCAATAACTTCCTGTGTTGCCAGCCCTGGGATCTATCATCAGCCTCATTGATTTCCTTAACCTTGCCCACCACTCATAAACAATCCTTTCATAAATGTTCCTTAGTTATCCTTCTGAGTGTGCCATTTCTCTCTGCTGGACCACTCCCTGTTTTTTTTTTTTTTTTTTCCTTTCTTGTTTTTTTAAAGAATGGCGGTATTTGACTCTGCATATTTTTTTAAATAACATACATGGATCACAGAATTAAACTACCAAAATTGATCTTTAATAGTACATACATTTTGTAGGAAATAAAAAAATAAAATCCAAGAAAATGTAGTTACAATTTAAAAAAATTCACAAAAGCTACCAGAGAAAAAGGAACTTTCTGAAATAAAAAGTTAATGCCCAATACATAGCCTTGGTCCCATGTATACATTAGACCATAGCTTTAGTGAATTATTAAAATAATACTTATTTCCAAAGTGTATATTTCAGGTGCTCAAAATGCTTTGTAAATTAAAAATAAATATATTATAATGCTGTTAAGTGATTGGAGGTATGTTGTAAATGTGTACTCTGAGAGGAAATCCAATGGGGCTAAGCATCTGATGAAAACAGGAAAGTCATCAAATATTCAAGTTGCAACACTACCTGTAGTGAGTAAGCACTGTAAGTCCACATATATGAAGTACTCATTTGCAGAGAAGAGTGCTTCTCTACCTGTGAATAGTTTGATTAGGGACTCTTTTCAAGTTCAGGAAACCATGAGATGTGGCTTAAGTTCAGTGAAACAAACCTACCTCTGCTAAGTGAGAATTAATTTTCCCTGCTTTTCAACTTTATTAAATTCTAAACGCGAATATTTTATTTATTTTTTGATCCTATCCATATCAGAGCTGACTTAACTTTAGCATTGGGAAATACCAGGCTCAGGGCCTCTGCCAGCACTGTGGTTTGGGGTCAGTGTGGTTTCTGCAGCTTTGGTCTGGCTTTAGATTGTCATAGGCTAAACCACCTCCAGATTCAGGTCTTCTGGAGGCTCTCTATAGTTTCTAACCAAGCTCAGGCCCCTCTGAGATACTTAGAGAATCAAGACTGCAATTTAACACCATAACTTCCTAGTTCTCCTTTGGGACTGGGCCACAGTGAGCCATCCAGGAACAACTCAGCTCAGAACAGACTGCTCGGGCCCAACCTATATCTGGATACTTAAATTAGGGCTGGCATTGAGATGAGTATCTACTCTCGTTTCCTTCCCCTTTTTCATTACATAAGAGCCCTGGTAGCATAGTGGTTAAGACATTTGGCTGCTAACCAAAAGCTTGGCCGTTTGAACCCACCACTTGCTCTGTGGGAGAAAGATGTGCCAGTCTCCTTCTATAAAGATTTACAGCCTTGGAAACCCTAGGGAGCAGTTTTACTCTGTCCTATAGAGTTGCTATCAATCTGAATCAACTCAATGGCAGTGGGCTTGGGTTTTCATTCCATTGGCTCAAGAGTAATTGAGAATAAAATCCAGGTCTTTTTTCATCACAATTCATTTCTGTAATATCTCAGGCTAAGTTCTGTCTTGTTTAGCTTGAAAAAGAGTCAATAACTTAAATAGGTATGTTTGATGTAATAGAATTCTTAGAAAGGCAATATTTTTCTATTCAGTCAAAGGGAGGATTAGGATTTAATCTAGTCTGTGAGGGTGGCACAGGACCAGGCACGCTTCCTTCCGTTGAGTACGAGGTCACCATGAGTCGAAACCGACTCCATGGCACTGAGCAACAACAACCTAAGTCATTTTTTTTAATACCATAATAGTTACCATTAACAGTAAGTGACTACTATATATGCCTTTCTCTTTAAATTCCTACTTTGCATATATTGTTGAAAAGCAAATAGTAGCATTTAGTCATTTAATACAGTATAATAATCAGGAATACATGAAAAAACAAAGCCTAGATATCTATAAATTCTCAAATAAATGGCCTAAATTCTTGTATTTGGGCTGCCAGAGTGAATAATTTTGTTTCTACTAGTGATATTATGTCCAATATTCCCACCCCTCCCCTTTTTATTTTTCAGTTCTCAGGCATCATTCCAGAATATTTTTTTTTTTTTGGTTCATGAGGTGGGATGAAAGATTGTGGTTAACATTTTCATTTGGAGGGAATAAAAACGTCATCTGATAAAAGACATCAATCTTCCAGATTCAAAGTAACTTCAGATTTTTATGTTTAGGAATTACCCATGGATCTAATTTGGTCCTATTGAGAACAGTTTCTTAACTTTAGACTTGGTGGACAAGAAAGATTTATTTACATGTCCAGATTTTAGTTAAATTTTGGCTGGCTTGTTTAGATTTGTAGAAACAGAAACCACTTACTTATTTTTTTCAACTTAAGATCTGATTTGACATAGATTATTTGTGTCAAAGTACACCGAGGCCCAGATTGGTTTGAAATCACTAAATGATCCTCTAATTTGATAGCTACTTTCAGGAAATGGTTTCGGGTAAACAACTCAATAAGACTGGTAAAAACTAACATCTCTTTTTTGTTTTTTATACTCACTGCAAAAAATAAGATGGTGGAACTGTTTAAAAGATCATGCTGGAAGGGTAAAAACTGAAGGAAAACAACACACTAAATACTACATTGACTATTTTGAAATCTAATCACAGTGCAGCCACACTTAAAAACCTGACAAATATATTTTTTTCTCATTTTCATCTCATTTAAAAGATATTATATCTATGCTAGTTATCAAATATTATTTGGGGAAGTTCATTAAATGCTACCTAACTATCAAACTTGTTTTATAGTTTATTTTTATAACATTTCAGATGAGTTTACACAGTAACTAAGATATGATTAAACAGTACAAATTCACTGAAACATTTTGATGTTAAGTTTACACCATGCCAAACATTTAGATTTTGAAATATGTTAAGATATGACTCACTGTTACATGATTTTCCTATGTGAGTCAAACTGTGTTCCCTAAGTAAAAATATAGACAGATGAATTTTGCTACAACATAGTCATTGCATAAAATATATATGTTAGCCATGACCCCAACATCAGTATTAAAAGAGTTCTAGTTTTTCAGTGTTTAACCCCAAATTTGGCTTCAGACATATTCATATATATCCTCCCTTGGTAAAAGAATTAAGAACATTAGTCAGAATTTACTCTTTTAATAACCTTTCTGTTATTTCTTGTTGAGAGGAAAATCTCATATATTTTCTTGATTACTGTTAGCACAACTGGGTATTATAAAATAAATAGCCTGACAATTTCACATGTAGCTCCTGGAGGGATAGCAAACAAAGCTGACACGACAGTAACCAAGCGAGTCCACTCTTCTAAGAATAGTACTGTAGTGACAAGAGTGTGCTCCCACATACACAGACATTACAATAGAAAGTACTTATAATTTTCAACTTCATTCTCCAAATAAAGGAATCATTAAGCCATCGCAGGACAATAGGCTGGTTGCATCCACATATTGACTTTCTAAAAAAATATAAAGTTTTATCTGATTTGACTGTATCCATACAATGTAGTAGCATAGAAGTTTATAATGTAGGAGCACAGAAGATTAAAATAGAAGAATTAGTAACTATTTAGAGTTTTAAACAAATTGCAAAACCACACACTTTCCCATTCACCAGGAAAGCTTTATCTAAGGCAACTGGATCTTAAACACAGTTGGCTGTTCTTCTAAAAGCCATGAACCATGTTTACTAAAGGTAGATTTTATAGATCCTTTCTAACACCTTCTACAAAGTGCCTTGTCAACACATCTATATTCCAAACCACTTTTTAAATGTTTGTTTACTCCATTTTATTAGGGTAGTTTCATTCTGTTTATACACTATTTTTTTCATTTCTCCAAGGAATCATTTTAAAATGATCTTCCAGATGCTGGTATCTAAGCACTTCTTAATTACTGTCCACAAAGGTCAGCCTGTTTACTGGAATTTGACTGTGTAGAACAGGAAGTTTGTGCCGTTTCTTGTGTTTTTAATGAAACCCGACAACAGAGAACTGAACGCATTAGTCTCAGAACAGGAGGCCTAAGGATGACAAAGACCCAAGGGTCAATTATTGGATTAATTGATAAAAATCTAAGGGCTTGGAGGTCCCATTTTTCCTTTCGGGAAGAGGTTTCATTCATGTATGCAAAAATCTGAAAGAAACAACGAGGAAAAACGATGTTAGTCTTACAGCGGTGGACAAGCATAGATTATATCATGCCATTTCTTCAGATTTAAAAGTGAAACTTTTCTGTGTGGTGGGGATGGTGAAGATGGGGAGTAAAATCTCACTCTTCTATATGTAAATTGTAACATAATGAATTTTTTTTCTTGAACTCATGGAAGGATGTTTTCTGTGGCTTATGATTAACATTAACATCATACACAATGTTCCAGTCTTTTCATTGAGAAAGGAGGAAGATGAATAAACTTCTTGACACCTAATAAAATTATTTTAATAATATCAATAATAATAATGATAATATTAGGAGCTACACTAATTATAATCATATATATATATATTCAGAAGGAAGTTGGGCAATCTACTTCCATAGAGATACTGCCTCAGAAATCCAAGGAGGGGTCGCTGTGAGTCGGATCCGACTCGACAGCAGCGGGTTTGTTTTTTGTTTATCATGAATTGTACTGGGCATTGTATCTGCTTTATTCCTAGTCCTTACAAAAGCTCTGAAACAGTATTGTCTCCTTTTAACACATCAGGAAGTGAACTTCAGGAAGGTTAATAATAACATCTGATATAATTATCATAATTCATTGAGATAGCGGAAGCAACACAGCACAGTCAGTGGGAGTACAGGTTCTTGCTATTGGATTATCTGGTTTAAATCCTGACTCTATATACAGCTTTGGGCCTGCTGTGTGGTCTGGTAACATCGGGACTGTGCCTTTTTACCTGTCAACCTTGGGGCTTCCAGCCTCAGCAGCCAGCAGCTGTCTGAGTGAAGAAACGCCTCTAGCTTCAGTGGGCCGGGAGCAGGAGGCAGAGCTGGACCCCAAGGTTGAAGGGCTTTCACTCAGCCCCTAGAGCCTGGCACTTTGAACTTGGACTTAACACCTCCAAATTGTAAGAATAAACTCCTGTTTGTTAAGTCCATCCCATTTGTGGTATATTTCTCATCAGAGCAGCACTAGATAACCAGAACTGGGGACACTGAGGCACAGAGATGTTAGGTGACTTGCCCAAGTTCCCAGTGCTAGTTAGTGCTGGAGTCAGGGGACAGATCCCCCCTCTCTTGATGCTAATGCATTGCTCACTGTCTGCTGCATCCAAGCCACTTGTATCAGAGCAAAGAACAATGTCCTAAACATCAGAAAACTAACACATCTTCACATTGATCAATACATTCAGACTGGTAGACAATATTTGAGCTGAGTCTTTAGATATTTAGGAAATAACAGGATTTCTTGGCCAGATTGAAAGGAATGGAACAATCCATGCTCAATTCTGTCTAACATTTCCATGTAACTTACAGAAAAGAGGAAAATGAATATAAATCATATACAGTCATTTAAAACCAAACCCACTTCTGTCAAGTTGATTCCAATTTATAGTGATCCTATAGGATGGGGTAGAACTGCCTTGGAGAGTTTCCAAGGCTGTAAATCTTTATGGAAGCACACTACCACATCTTCTGTAGAGTGACTGGTGGGTTTGAACTGCTGATCTTTCAGTTAGCAGCCATGTGCTTTAACCACTGTGCTATAACAACATAATGCAACACACTGCTGTCAAGTCAGATCCGACTCACAGCGACCCCTCCTTGGGTTTCTGAGGCACTATCTCTAGGGAAGTAGATTGCCCAACCTTCCTACTGAGGAATGGTTGGTGGGTTTGAACCGCTAGCCTTCTGGTTAGCAGTCAAATGCCTTTAGGCACTACGCCACCAGAGCTCCCACAAGGGCTCCTTATTTAAAACTATTTCTTGATGATGCTCCAGGGACTTTCTTACCAATGGTAATCTGTGAATTAGGGAGCTATTTCTTCTTTCTTCCACTCTTCTTCTCCAGAAGAAGGAATCGTTTATTTACCTACTCTGCAGGCGTCTGGCATCTGAATGTACAAAGTGAATTGCACAGAGGGAGCAGAGTAGCCATCTTCTGGTTGCTTATGTTAGGACAATAGCAGGAAGGCTGGCAGCCACAGGTGTTTATGCCAGAGAATCTTGGCATAGGGAATGGAGAAAAAGACTTGGCAGATGAGTAAGGAAAAAGAGGAATTGATAGTGGAGTTCCCAGATTATAGAGAGAAAAGGAAAGTTAGATGAGGACAGACAATAGAGCAATAGTCTTCTTGTAGCTAAGCTACTTTCAATGAGAAATATAGAGTACTTCATAAAACAAAAAAATTCATTTGCCATTGAGTTGATTGTGACTCATAGTGACCTCCACTGTGTTTCCAAGGCTATAAATCTTTACGGAAGCAGACTGCCTAATTTTTCTTCTACAGAGTGGCTGGTAGGTTCAAACCACTGACCATCTGGTTAGCAGCCAAATACCTTAACCAGTACACCACCAGAGCGCTCTTTCTCTCTAGAACTTACATGGTGTATTTAAGGAGTGGTCTTAGAGGTTAGAAAAATTGTGTACATAAGTCTGATAGATGAAAATATATTAATTACTACTTTGACAAGTGGGAGCTCTGGTAGTGTAGTGCCTAGGGTACTACTAACTAATGACTGCTAACCAGGAGGCTGGTGGTTCAAACCCACCAGCCACTCCTTGGAAGGAAGGTTGGGCAATCTACTTCCGTAGTGATAGTGCCTCGGAAACCCAAGGAGGGGTCACTATGAGTTGGGTCCGACTCCATGACACGTAACAACAAAAACAACAACACTTTGACAAGTGGGTGGCCTCTTCCTTCTTCTGAGTCTGTCTTAGTCTGGAAACTGTCTGCCATGGGTAAACCTGCTGGCATTTGAAACACTGGTGGCATAGCCTCCAGCCTCATAGCAACACACAAGCCACCACAGTATGACAAACTGACAAAATGTCTCCCTTAGTTGTTCCAAACCACTTAGCTCACTTCCCAGCTTCCCCCGGGTGCTCCAACATCTGCCTTCCCTGTGTGCCCAGCTCATTTCCCGGCCTGCTCTGGGTGCTCCAAACGCCTGCCTGCCCTGCGCACCCAGCTCCCTTACCCAGCCTGCCCCTACATACACATATATACACATATACATATACATATATATGCAGTGATAAATATATTTAACATATATTAATACATATGTTTTACCTATTGTTGTTCGTAGATTCTAACTCATAGTGACCCCATGTGACAGAATTGTCCCATAGGGTTTTCTACACTGTAATTTTTTCAGGAGCAGATTGCTAGGTCTTTCCCCTTCAGAGTCACTGGGTGAGTTCAAACCACCAACCTTTCCATTAGCAGCCTAACAATTAACTGTTGCACCCCCAGCGCTCCCATATACACAAATCAATGTGTATACATGTCTATATTATATATAGACACATTTATATGTACATAAATATGTTGTTGTTGTTGTTGTTATTTGCCATCGAGTCGCCCCCGACTCATAGCGACCCCTCCTTGGGTTTCCGAGGCAGTATCACTACGGAAGTAGGATTGCCCAACCTTCCTTCCGAGGAGTGGCTGGTGGGTTTGAACCGCCAGCCTTCTGGTTAGCAGTCAAGTGCCTTAGGCACTATGCTACCAGAGCTCCTACATAAATATGTATGTATATACAAATAAACAGAGCACTCTGTTGTGGAAACGTTTGTAGCTTAGTTTATAATCTAGTTTAGTCAAGCCGTGTAATCACAATGAATTGGCCAGCCAAGATGGGCAGCACAGAGACGGCTCAGCCTTCCGGTGTTACAGCTTCACACATGAAGATGAGTCAGACTTTTAGTGAAAAGTAACTCACGCTATAGTTCCTGGTATCTTTAGAACGTGACAAAATAATGAGAAGTGAAAAATTGTTTTAGAGGATGAAGCAATTCTGTACTATTTATTTCCTTTCCTTTTCATCTAAATGCTGGGTAATTGTTAGAATTGCTTAAAATTTGCATTTCTGGAGATGCCCAATATTTTCTAAAGACAATTCCTACACTTGGTAAAAAGAATACTTCAGTGATCCTTGAAGTTCTTGATGTAAGCTTTCTTTGATGTAAGTTTTTTATTTTCTCCTGTCTCTCCTTGTTTTCCTTTGGTTCTTGTCTTTTGTCTAGGGTTCACCATTTTTGATTTTGTGGATCCTGGGCTTTTCATAAAGCTGACACAAGGGATATAAAACCAAACCAAACAAACTCACTGCCATCAAGTCGATTCCGACTGATAGAGATCTCCATTGGGTTTCCAAGGCTGTAAATCTTACAGAAGCAGACTTCCACATCTTTCTTCTGAGGAGCATCTGGTGGAGTCAAACCACTGACCTTCTGGTTAGCAGTCAAATGCCTTAACCACTACACCACCAGAGCTCCTTCAAGGGACATCAATCAATAAATTAGTAATGTTTCTGTGATATTGTGGAATTCAGTTTCAGGGGTTGGTGTAATGTATACTTCTTTTTGTATACACTACTAATATATTCGCTGTGAGAGAAGCAACCAAGTGCTAATCTAAATGAGTCAAAGTGGGTTGAAATTCCATGAGGCAGACTCTCTCTACTGGGCTTTGCTAAGAACATAGAGCTTGCTGGGACACCTACAAAGCAGCACAGATAAGAATTAGTGTTATTTTCACACTGTCTTCTGTAGAAACCTTGCAGCCTCTCACCATGGCACTGACCGAGTATTGTTTACTTGAGCTGCTTTTTAAAAAAAAAAAAAAAAAATTTCAATGGAACTACATAGTAGGTTCAGAATTTTAGAACAAATACGAACTTAGTTACTCATTTAAATCACCTGAGGAGCTTTTAAAAAAGTTCTAAAGTGTTGGTCCCTCCCGCAGACTCTGATTTAATTAGTCTGGGTTGTGACCCAGACATCAGGGTTTTTAAAAGTCCCCTAGGTGAATGGAGTATGTGACTAAGGCAGAGAATCACTACGGTAGAGCCTTACCTAAAGCCTGAACTTGTTTAAAATTATTATTTATCACATTCAAATACAAGATACCTACTTATCCCTGGCCAATCAACTGACTTTGAGCTTCTAGAATTTAATTCCTGGTCAT